GATTCCCTTGAACAGGATGAGACATGGCTTGATTTCCACAAACAGGATTTTCCATGGTGCGATTGGACGCGCTTGGTAGGCTGAGATCGAAAATTCGAATTTGCCAGAATCACAGGGGTGGATAAGCTGCCAAGGTGAGGTTGATCTCTTCGATAGATCCTAATTGGTCTGGATGCTATTCGGAGTTGGTTTCCGGATTTCCCGTGTCCTTGTTTTATCGCCTCCACCCAACTTGAACGACACCTCTTTGTTACCCCTAACACAGAGCTTGGAAGATCTTTTTTTTTTTTTCAATTTTGTCTCTGGGATTTCCCGGAAGAATTACTCTGAACGATGTCCAATGTATTTTCACGTGTTGCACTGACAGGAAAAGCAATGGCAACGGGCGCATTGCTCCCAAGTCCATCCCTATCCTCACATTTGGAGCGGGAATTATACCTGCTAGTACCAGCTGAGAATGTCTCGAGTATATTTCATACTCGATGGTCAAAGTTGATTGTTGAAGCTTAGTTCATGCACCGATACATTGTCACGGGGACTGACACTACCGTGAGACCCTTGAGATCATAGCGAAGCGCCTTGAAATTAACCGAAATCACGAGGTGTGATTAACGATTACTCGCGAAACCTTTCTCATGGAAGTGAGAAAGTTCCCTTTTTCATTCTGTTTTGATGTCCGATGATGATGATGATGATGATGATGGCCATTTTCTTGCTCAGAGCCGTTGGTTCGACAGTGTCGCAGAATCGCCCGTGTTTTCAACATGCCTCCAACATTCCCCTGGGGCCTGGGGTCACTCTCATAGCCTCGTGACTCGTCAAAACCTTATAGTGCAGTCGCATTCACCAATTTTGAGCACAGCCTGCAGTGTGGTGTAAACACCACTTTATACCACGGTTCATACCACTATAACATAACGGCACTTCGTCCGAGACTCACAGTATTGAGATCAAAGACCGATGCTTTCGTTCATGTTTGTGTCATCTGTCTTGCCTGGTTTACATGCTCATTGCAGAGTTTCGGTTCTCGAAATTCCCCTCAAACAATGCTGGTTTATCCCGCATTACTAGAAACTCGAGCATTGGAGCCAGAAAGAGGCTATGGTTGGGCGAATACCTCTTGATGAGCATTTTCCAACTATAGAGAGATCCGGCCCTTTGGGTCCGCGCCATAATTTTGCCACCAGAGTTGGTATCACTGCTGAGTCTCCAGGGGTATGAATGGGCGAGCCGACATTAGTGGGTCTTCTGTTTTGCTGGCGAACGAGTACCAAACCACCCAAACCGAGGTAAGTCGGAAGGGCAAGAAAACGATTTGATTGAGAGAAATGCATCGACATTTTACCTAGTCATGCCTTGCCTTGTGAAAGCATTCAGCTTTTCCGGGGTCTGAAAGCACAGCAATGATCGTCTTGCAAACTTTTCCAAAAGCCTTCAAGGGACAGGAAACCCGATGGATAGTCCTGCTGCGTGTGATATCTGATTATGATCACCAAAACAATGTTGTCTCTTGAAATGTATTCATGATGTATCCCGCCAGGTCCTCGAACAGAGATGGTCGTTTGAATCCCAGGAATATGGGCGGTTCTCGGAGAAAGAGGGCGATACGACTGGGAACGTCACGTTACGACTGACCTGTCCCTAGTACAGGGAGAACGTCGGTCTCTCGTGACACATCAGCGAGCAGGTTCCACATGGAAAACCTATCACGGATGCTTCAAACGCAAAGGAAACCGTGAGAGAAAGGCCTGTACAGACCACATACGCCAATGTTCCTGCAATACAGCACATTCATATCCACAGGAAGGTTTTCCAACATCCATCCTCATGTGTTCAGAAATACCAACGTGCAAAGCGAAGCGCTCATTGGCTTTAATGCTGCTCCTTAGTGGCGACCCGGCAAAGACCTCCAGCATACCAGAGGGCCCCATTTCGGTTGAAAACCCACTTGTGAATACCCACAGTAGGGGGATCTACTACTTTGTATTTTTTTTCGACTTTTATTTCTTATTATCAAACTCTTCTGCAAGGGGGATGATTCTTTCTTGCCGTGTGGCCTATGAGTTCGATGTTCCGCTAGCGTCTCGCGTCGCCAAAAACACCCTTTGGATCAAATTCTTCCTATGATCCAATCCTGTCGAAGGTTATATCTGACAACGATATGAGTGAGAACTTTGGTACCCCGTATTCCGAATATCCCGAATATCCCGAATATCGGAACCTGGAAACTGAAGTCAATTATGACTGGGCCGTGCCTGGATACCCGCAACCTTCTCCCTTCGAGTTCAATGCTAACCGTGATGTCCACGATATCCATGAGATCCATGATTTACCTTCAAGCGACCGCGTGAATGCTAAGGTGGCTATCCCCCGGAACGCACAACCCAGTAGTTGGACTAGCAGTGGTCGAGTCAGTCGGGCTTGTGAAAATTGCCGTGAACAAAAGGCCAAATGTAGTGGCCATCGTCCAACCTGCCATCGATGCCTAGATTCCCGTGTCCCGTGCTCGTATGGCGATCGGAAAAAGGAAAAGATGGTAAAGTTGGTAACCTTTTTCATTTCGTTTCAATCACTCTTTTCTCTAACATCTGATAGACAGCTAAACGATTTAACCACACGGGTTGAAACCTTTGATGCTTTGCTCCGCGGTATTTATCCCAAACTCGATGCCTCGTTGGCCCAACAGGTCGATCAAACACTGAGGGAGCTAAATGCACGCACTCCGCTCACCCAAGTCAATCCCTCTACCCCTATCCCTGCTTTCTTCACCAACCCATCCACCCACATCAACCAATCAGTGCTTTCTTCCCTTGCAGATGCTGGTCCTACATCTATTCCCTCGGGGACTGTAGACTATACCGAAGAGGACTTCGACCGTGATGAGAAAGTACAGGCGACGGGGTTTGTGGGCGAACATTCGGAGATGGCATGGTTGTACAGACTCAAACGCGACCTCGACCATAAATGTTTGAAAGGAATCAAAGAGACCACTGAACGGCCTTCGATCTCTTCCGTGAACTACTTCCAAGATGACTCGGAAATATTGTTTCTGGACGATATCGACCTCGCGTGCCGGCCTCCACAACAAATCGCTAACAGGCTCGTTGAGACTTACTTTCACATCGTCCATCCTACCTTTCCTATTATTGGAAAAGCAATATTTCTAAATCAGTATCGATCCTTCTATGCGAACCCGAACGTGCGACCTGGGAAACGATGGATTGTAGTGCTGAACCTGGTGTTTGCCATTGCGACCAGACATTCCTTCCTTGCCGACCAACCCCAACCGAATTGCGATGACCATCAGACTTATTTTACACGGGCATGGAAGCTGAATGTAGGTAGCGTGTTGCCCCATCCTCCCGACTTGCAACAGGCACAGGTGGAGGGCTTGGCTGCTTTCTACCTCCTATCGGTTGGTCAAGTGAACAGGTCGGTCTTTCCTTTTCATCCCTTATCTATTCCTTCGTGATTTATATCTGACCTGTTGGACTTCTTCATCTAGGTCATGGAGATTCATTGGAATTGCAATTCGATCGGCGGTGGCCATGGGTCTCAACATTCGAAGCGAGAGCGAAAGCATCGCCCACTTTTCGAAAGAACTTCGATATCGGGTTTGGTGGGCGCTGTTCATGTTGGATATTGTGCTATGTGAGATGACAGGCCGCCCACCTGGCACGAGGGATATCTTTTGCTCCACGCCCCTCCCTGTGCCCTTCCCAGAGGAGGATTTCTGGGATAGGCGTGTTGCGCAAGTTATTACCGACCAAAGGACTCGAAATGCCTTTTTCGCCTCTTTAATCTCCGATTCCACCGCAGCTTCACCAAAAGAGAGTACCGCTCAAAGCACACCGGAACAACATGGGTCGGGCAAGGGGAAGCAAGGAGAAAGGGCCAGTCAAGTGGGCGCAGGGAATCTGACACCCAACTCCTCTCTGTACTTTCTGTATGCAGTGGACCTAGCTCATCTCTTACGGGAAGCTATTAATACTCTGTATGCTCCTACAGCAACGCGGCAGTCATGGCATGACATCGAAACCGCCATTCCTACGCTAAACAACCATGCCGACAACTGGTTGTCTCGTCTCCCGGCGGAGTTTGATTTCACAACGCTAGACACAACTCATCAATTTCTACAACAGCGTGCTCGTCTTGCTTTTCGATTCTACGCCACCAAGCTGATAATCTTGCAACCCTGTATCCGCCGTGTATTTCAACAATCTGAAGCAAGTTCTCCGGGAACAGTGTGTGATCAGATGGCAGCCTTGTGCGTTCAGATGGCAGGTAAAATGTCCGAACTGTTGCCCGAGGAGCCAGACTCGACTTGGCTGTATGGCGTCGCTCCATGGTGGTGCATCCTGCACAATATCATGCAGTCGACTACCATCCTCCTCACCGAGCTCCTCACTCGCACTCATGTAGGCACCGCCAAGGCTGTTGATATTACTAACAAGATCAACAAAGCAACTCGCTGGTTGAAAGAGATGTCGGCCAAAGACCTTTCTTCCAAACGAGCCTGGCTTGTCTGTATGGACCTTCTTTCACGACATGGATCGAAGTTTGGGTTCGGTGTTGACACCGAACTCTAAGCGCTCGCATTCTTCAATGTGTCTCCCATGGAAGTTTGATCTGTACCCTGACTTGATTGGTGGGGGAAGTGGACTTGGGCGATGCATTTGCATTTGCATTTTCCTGCTTTCTTTAACAACATAGACGATTCAACTTGTTCTATCCATTATGCGTCCCCTCTCATGCTGGAAATGCTTGTTCATCTGACATCTCAATTATGATTTTTGGTTTATCTTTATAAATACGTTTCGTTAAGTTGGCTGTGTCTTATTATAACAGTCTTCTCTTGTCATAGTATTGTGTCTTGCATTTGCTCACAAGAATACCATCTTTAAGCATTAGAGTGTCGAGTCGCTCCGCTCAAAGCAGAACAACCAGGTCTAGAACGTGCATATCATTATCAATGACTCATTCGCCCTGATTAGCCCCGGTCAAAACCCATGGCATGTATATAGATTCTCTGCCTCGTTGAAGAATGTATCAACAGGGTGCAACAGCCCAAGGTCGATATCTGACTGCGCCAGGAAATCTTGCATGGTCGGCTCTAGAAATGCCATTTCAGTGGTGTACCCGCTGACGGTATCCGTCAAAGGGTAGGTATATGCATCGATACCATGGCCGTGGACAGGCTGGGTGGTGGGAGAAGCAAGGATATCATGTGATGTGGGTATTAACGACGGTGGAGGTATAGATGCGGACACCGACACCGATGTAGATCTGGGTGGATTCAACGGCAAAGGGTTCAAAAAAGGAGTAGTAGCCGTGGCCAGTTCAGGCGAAGGCCCGGACAAAGCTAGCGCACCAGTGCCAGAGCGACCGTTACCACTAGCATTAGCGTTGGTATTAGGAGCCACTCCTCCACCAGCAGCCACATCAGCACTCCCCTCAGCCCGCCTCGCTCCTCGATAAGCAGCCAAACAAACCTTCACCTGCTCGAGGTTATGATAGAATTCCGCGGCAGCCAGATTCCCATTCTCGGTCATGGAGCGTAGCAGATCTAGCGCGGAGTCAAATCCCGTCATATCAGTTGGACTGCCGATAGGAACAAAGCTGGACATTGCCAAGATCAATGCGGAGGAAAAGAGGTAGTGGGCGTGGAAATAGCCGAAGGTCGGCATGGACCCGTTGATCCACCGTGTCAAGATCATCGAATGGGAATGCCGCGCTGCATGGATACATGCTTCGCTTAGGGTCAGAACGGGCTGAGAAACGGTTACCTCTTCGCCTTCGCTTTCGGCCCCACCGGTATTGTTAGTGGTATTGGAGCGGGGTTTGCTTTTTTTGCTTAGTGTCATTAGGAGGTGCAGTAGCGTTGGGCGCGTAGTTAGGATTACGCATTGGTTGAAGGACATATGGAGGGAGACGATGGGTTTCTTGCTCGATTCCAGGTCTTCCATGTTCAGCCTGAGGGATTCGGGGAGTGTTTCTACCCAGTGTTTCAGGGCTTTGAGGATTTTCTGAACGCGCTGTAGGAAGGTCTCTTGGTATTTTCGCCGGCTGTATAATTTGGTGATTGTCTCGCCGACTATGCGTGCCAGCTTGATGTTGGCGGTCATGTAGTCAGAGTCGGAGAGTTCTTCTTCGTGGCGCCAGCTCGGGGAGATGGTTGAAGGCATGTCGACATGGATATCCTCATCGAGGATTTGCATTGGGAGACCCATTTTGGATCCCCACATCCGGTCGAAGATGTAGATTGTCCACCATATTTGGATGCGGTGCTGGCGCTCCACTGGGTCGATGACCTGTGATTCTAGGATATTGTGATTCAAGCCAATGGTCAACCCCATCCGCATGGCATTTCCGATCAGGACGTACGCCGAATGACGCCGGTTGAGATAGTATGAAAAAAGAGACTTGGGATATGGTAAGTACTGTGATGTCCAACAATAGTACATGCTGAGCTACATACCAACAATAGCAGGGTTTCCAAGTGTGTGATACTGGTTCTCTCCGGTAGGATCTGGACCAATCCCATTGATCGAGCAAAGTACGACGTGCCCGGTACCCTAGAGCCGGAATTGGGCTCAGATCGGATTGAATAGGCCTGGCCAAAAGCGAATAAGGCGAAGAATTTACACTTGCTAGCCGTGCAGTCAAAGTCTCGTGTCCTGTAGATCTCTTCCAGTTTATCTAACGTCGACTTGCGCATCATGAGATGGTAGAGATGCCCGATCTGGTGGATTGCTATTCGGACTAACAACCGAGCATGGTGGAGACTCGGCCACTGTATATCGGATTCGTTCGCTGCGGTGATCGTCTCTTCGCGTTCATACTGTGTTCGGGGAATATGTGGCATTGCACTATTCCCCGACAAGAAACGCCGAAAGCGTGTTGCAAATGCTGAACATGCTGCCTCGCCGATGTAGATGGGTGGCGAAGAGGGATCATACCGGTGGAACCAGGCTCGATCTCCAATCAATGGATTTTGAATTCCTGTTCCATCAGGGGCATCTGCTGTCCTGGAAGGACCTCTGCTATACATCTCAGCATGTTGCGGGTCATCTTTAGAAAGTCAAGAGATATCTACCTCTGCGCCGGATCGTTGGTCTCGGCAACTTGAGCCGAGGTGATCGACCGTTCCTTGAGCCGCTGATTCTCGGCGAGGATCTGATCTAAATAGCTAATTGGAGAAGGAGAAGACTGTCTTTAGCTTCTGGCCTGACACGTGTAATAGACAAGCTTTTTGAAAGGCTTGGTCTAAAAATAGGATGCGGCTTGATTGCATACTTCTCGCTAACTTTCACCTGGCGATCCCGAGTAGCATAGGTACATTCATCAGCGAGTCCGACTGTGCAACATTTGCTACACGGCTGATCTCCGGAACATTTGATTTTATGCGAGTGGCATCTTCGACAGCTGTTATGTCATACGTCAGTGCTCGGTGGCTTCGGCGTGAGGTATACAACATCTCCAGGTGGAATACGCACGCAACAAATTTCCTTTTTTGAGACTCCCGACCTTCCTGGTCTTGCTCTTCTGTAAGAGCACGTCTTTTTCCCGCCATCTGATAATTCCCCCTTTTCTCGTTATTCTCGGGCTTTTCAGATTGTGCAAAAAAAGAAAATCGCCGGGTGCGGTCGGAGATTTGGAATTCTGGACCGATCATTCGGCGATTTGGGGGATTTGCCGAGGTAGGGCTGACTAATCAATTTGCTGCCCAGGTGGTGCCTTCCCGGGCAGCAACCTTGAAGGCCCAACCTTGAAGGTGTGCTCAGGCGAGCCTAATATGTTGTATACCTGCATAAGTAGGAACGAAGGGAGTGTAGTTGAATGTCTTTATTTTAATTTTCAAGTCTCTATATGGTTAAATCTATGTATTATATTTTAGGAAACGATTGAGCCATGTCTGTCCATCGCGATCTATATAAACCAACTCTATCATGTAGGCATTTCATATCGCCTCGTAAGCAAAAACATAAATCAAAATGGGGGAAAAGCGTCATTTTGTTGTGGTCAAGACTTCGCATCGAGGCTGAACTTCCTTTCAGACCATCGCTGCATATCAATGCCCCATTTTGTGATAGCAAGCACAAGGAAGCCGCCTATTATAGCGAAAAAAACACCTAAATAAATAGTTAGATATATCCAATTCATGATCTCATGGAGAGAACTCACAGATCGTAAATGTCCAGCCCACCCCGATAGAGCTGATTAACGGCTCAACGACTGCCGTCGCTCCGGCAGCAAAGATATACTGCACTACATACTTTGCGCTGATGACCTCCGAACGAACATGCGGTATAGCCTCTGCAAGATACATGTTTAGTTCGAGATACTTGTATATGAGATAGATAACACTCACCAGCCGTATAAGTATTCAGTCCATTGAAAGAACCCATGAGCCCTACGCCTGCAAAAAAAGCGGCGATAATTGGCACAACCATACCACCTACTTCTTTCTCTAAGGTCCAGCCGTAAATTAATGTAGCAACCGGGAGGACCCCAAAAAGGGTGGCAATACCACTGTTCAATCGGTCCTGAGGCAGGCGCACCCCGTTTCGTTTGATAATCCATTTCTTCACGGCGTGATCGGACAGCTTGCCACCGACCACACTACCGAGCAGAAAGCCTATTCCCGGGGAAAGGTAGAATAGGCCGCTGATGAGAGGAGACGTCAGGTTAAAACGTGGATTGAAAATTGAGCGGGCCGATGTGAGAATTGCGTATTGGAACGTGGCAAGGAGACCACATGTGAGACACTGTTGGTCGTTAGTCAATCACTGGGCAAGGTACAACTCCAGTACTGGAAGACTATGCTTACTGCAAAAAAGACATTGGGATACACGAAGTGACGGAAGACGCGCATTGGGTTGAACATGCCCATAACAGTGCAGAACTTCAGGGGTTTCTCGGAGTCCCGTTTCTTTTCCTGGATACTTGGCACAAAAAGAAGAGACAAGATGAGGCCGAGTAAAGTCATCGCGAACTGAAGCCAGTAGATAATGCGCCATTGAGCAAATGTGACGATGATGCCGCCGATACAGGGTCCTAATTAAACAATTAGCCACTTAGATCCGACGACACTCCTAGAAATGGGGATAATTTAAACATACCAATTGCAGGCCCGCTGACAGATCCAACCATAAAGCAGCCGACAGCCGTTCCACGCACAGTCTATCCACCCCCGTCAGTAACCAGCAGACAATCGGAATGAAAACTAACATACCGGTTCAAAGATATCGGCAAGAATAGTCTGCCCAGCAACCATGAAGAAGGTACCTGTAAAGCCTCCCAGAATCCGCATTGCGATAAACATATGCAAATTGATCGCCGCGGCGGTACCTGCCGAGCATGCACAAAGCACAAGGATAGCTGCATTATAGGCATTGCGACGCCCGAATATGTTGGTGATAGGACCCCAAATAAAAGACGAAAAGCCCATGGCAATTAGAACACCGGCATTGGTAACATTGAGAATCTCCGATGTAGTAGAAAACTCGGTAGCGATCTCCGGGGTTGCGGGCAATAGTGAGGTACTGGAGAATGTGACAGCCAGTGTCATCCAGCTAACGACAAAAAGGATGAGGCATTTGCGCCATGTTGGGATACCATAGGCGTTTGAGGGCTGCGGTTTTAGGGCCAGATCGTCTTCTGATTCCGACTCGTGGGGAGAATCGGCCTGCGGGGTTGGTTTTTGGGACTCAAGGTCTCGTCTGGATTCCATGATTGGGTGCTGAGGGAAACTAGATGGTATATGATGGGTGTAAAAGGTTGATTGGTGATTTCGTCATGTCTAAAGTAGTAAAATGATGTACACAGAAAATAATTTCAAAGGATTGGGTGGACATTTTGTATGAAAAGACCCCTCGGCGTGTTGAAGCTGTCGCCGAAGCCTGGGTTTTTCGCGCGTGGAGCTTTTTCCTCCGATGTGGATCGAATCAATCGGCATCGGTGGCCGACATCTGCATTTTGCATATGAGGATGTGAGTCACGTCAAAGTGATCAGGGATAACGGGATGGCTGGATAACATGGGCAATGCTAATGATCGTGACCGGGGTGAGGTTGAAGTTCATGTGCCATTTCTGGTTTGGATACCTGAAATATCAGGCGTTCATTATTTTTCGGTTATCCTTACAAGGCACCGATTCAACAACACGTAAATTCAAGATGGTTTTCAATACAATTGCTCATATCCGTTCTAGATCAGAATATGTTGGGGATGATTCTCGTGCTTTACGGAGTATGTATACTTGCTCCATGTTACGCACCAAACAGCCCACATGGCCCCAGGGCCAAGCTGACGCGTCCCCACGCAAGCTTTCCCTTGCTTGTACAAGGAGATCGGCGAAGAGCTTGGCAAAATTAAAGCTTGCAATCTAGTCCGCCAAGATATCTTGTGTCGCAGGGCTGTAAAAAGAAAAGGGGGGACACATCAACACAACAACGCAAGGGATAGCGAACAACACACCCCAACTCTTGGGAGAGACACTTGATCACTAGACACAATATAACGACATAATATAAGTCAGCTATGGGCCACCAAGAAGCAAAAGAAGCCGAAGCATCCCCTTCCTTTTTACCCCCAGTGGAAAAACACCATACAGCTCACCTTGTCTTGGTCCCCCAGCCTAGTACGGAACCCCGGGACCCTCTGGTATGGCAGTAGGCCCTCGAACATCATTTTCATTGAAATCGATCTGATCAAACCCGTCCAGAACTGGCCTATCAGTCGCAAATATGTACTACTGGCCGTGTTATGCCTCGCATCTTTCTCCGGCGCCATCGCGCCGTTATCGGGACAGCTTAATCTGGCTGATCAGGAGAAACTGTACAACAAGACAAAGCTAGAAGAGTCGTATGCGGCAAGTCTACTCCACTTTCTTCAAGACTTTGAAATCTGCACCGTTTATCAAATCGAGCATCCACCCATCTAACATCCCCTAGAATTCAGCCGCCCTAGCTGGCATGGCCGCGGGCCCATTTTTCTTTGCCCCGATATCTCACTTGCTCGGTCGCAGCTCCGTGATCTTCTGGTGCGTGCTATTTACGCTAGTATGCCAGATCTGGGCCGCCGTCATGACCGACCCTAGTAACTATATTGCATACGTGATCTCCCGGCTCTTTGCTGGCTTCTTCGGTGCCGTGCCTACAGTGCTTGGCCCTCGCATCGTGACCGATATTTTTTTCTTGCATCAGCGTGGCCGCGCTTTTACTGCTCTGCATATGGCGTTTTTGTTCGGAACGATTGCCGGTCCGACATTCTCAGGGTTTGTTTCTGCGCACTCTTTTTTTCCCGTTGAGTTCTGGTGGACGGTCGGTCTGCTGGGGTTCACACTTATCTGTTGTTTCTGTTTCCTCGAGGAAACTGGTTTCGATCGTGAATGCTTTGAAAGGAACCCGGATGTTCCAGCTGGATTCCTGGCTAATAGACTGGCTACTTTCTTCTTCGGCCGGAGGATTGTCTTGCCGACTACCTGGAAAGAGACGGTAAGTACATGGGAAGCCCGATGCTCTATGGCATACCGTAACAACTGAGTTCGGTCTAATCTTAATCGAACAGGCCAAAGTCGGAATCACACCATTTTTAATTGGAATGTGCCCTGTGACCATCATCATGGGAATATTCACGCTAATCTCCTTTGGATTCTACGTGGGCGTCAACGCGCTCACACCTGTATGGCTCCAGAAACCCATCTCCGAAGGTGGCTACGGGTTCTCATTGGAACAAAATGCGGCATTCACATTCTGCCATTGGATTGGCATCCTCGTCGTCCAATTCCACGGTCACTATCTGAATGACCGTCTGCCTCTAGCACTGGCACAGCGGTACAATGGCGGTGTCTGGAAGCCCGAGTATCGACTGCATGTTCTATGGATTCCTAGCCTTGTGATTAACCCTATTGGCCTAGGGATCTTTGGTGCCGCTTTGCAATATCATTTACATTATATGGTGCTCGCGCTTGCTGTTTTTATTGTGACGGTTGGGTCGCTGGCCAGTGTTCCTGTCACGGTGAATTATGTTGTCGAGTGCTTTACGCGGTATCCAGCTGAGGCAGGTATTGTTATCGGTGCTTATCGCATTGTCTATGGATTGACAATTAGTTTCTATATCAATCCTTGGGTTGAGGCTGTTGATGTTGGCTGGGTTTATGGTATGATGGCTTTCTTTGCGGTGTTCTCCTACATGTTTGTTATGTTGCTCATGTGGAAGGGACATGCTATTCGCAAGATTCAATTTTCAAGCCTTGGATCTAGCGAGGAGGGCGAACAGTTGGTAGGTAAATAGCTGAGCTACCAGGTGGGCTGAAACACGCCGTTATGCTTCAGTTGGTGGTGTGATTGTTAATTCGCCGGGGCACATATAATAATCAAAAATCTGGACGAAAAGCTCAGAGCCCTACAATTATATTACTAAAATCGAACCCGCTGGGAAAGAATATCTTGAATGGATGGCTATAGACGAGAGAAAAATGTATCTAACCGAAAGAGAAGACATGGGAACAACAAGCAGACATTAGACAACTCTCTACCGCAGGACATCGAAGTGAGAAGCTGAGACTGTAAGCTCAAATAATTCTCAGTTACATCGCACTTCTCACCTCTCTAACTCTTCCCATCCACTCACTACATTCAGTGTGACAGCACCTCCTCAACAGGGTACCTTTGTTGTCTTCTTAGTCTACCACAATATGGAAGTCATCAAAGAAGCCTTTGCAAAATGCAAGGCCGAAAGCCGTGTTGCCTTGATCACCTACGTGACAGCTGGCTATCCCACCGTGGGCGAAACACCGGATATCATGATGTCCATGCAAGTCGGAGGTGCAGGTACGTGTTGTTTACTCCTGTCTCTTTTGTGAGACATGTACCATCCTATATTCAACATCAGCTAATTATAACCCCTGATCAGACATCATCGAGCTCGGAATTCCCATAACCGGCCACCCCATGACTGAAAGCTCAACCATTCAGCAGGCCAATGCCAAGGCCCTCGAGAACGGCGTGCAACTTCCACACATCCTGCAGATGGTCAAGTCAGCCCGTAAACAAGGTCTGGCTGTTCCTGTGCTGCTGGTGGGGTACTACAACCCCGTGCGTGAATATCCGTACGGAGAGGATAAGCTACTTCGAGACTGCAATGCTGCTGGTGTAGACGGGCTCATCATTGTTGATCTTCCTCCGGGGGACATAGTGCGTTTCCGTGATCTGTGCAAATCCAAAGGGTCTTTATTCCCACCTTCCAGGCTTACATTTGCATTCAGCTAATACAGATCCCAGGCTATCGTACATTCCCCTCGTTGCTCCTTCCACCCCTAATTCTCACATGGGGATGCTTCTTTGCAACATCGCTGACTCATTTATTTGCATTGTATCTAGGATGGGAGTTAGCGGAACTCACGAGAAACCGTATGGGTGTGCCGAAGATCTGCTCCATCGCGTGCATGATTGCACTGGGAACTCAGTCCCAGTAGCTGTTGGATTGGGTATCAGCACCCGACAGGATTTTATTGATATTGCTCGTGCCGCCGAAGGAGTTGTCATCGGCTGCCCAATCATCTACTTACTGGAAAACGCGACTCCTGGAACTGGTGCTCAGAAGGTCAAGGAGTATTGTCTTCGGGTTGCTGGACGCACTGAGGATCAAATTGTCATACCAGAAAGAAGAAAGCAAGCTAGCCAACCCATGTCTCCCACAACCGTCTACCTTTCCTATGATGGGGCAGGCGATACACCCGAAGACACGGAAACGGCCACCAGTCTCAGAGATACAAACGCTAACGTTGAAAACCTCATCTGTCAATACATCCCACAAACCCTCAAGGAAGGCCTTGCCGAACTAGAAAACGGCTTCCAGGCAGCAAACGCAGACCCAGCCTTCTGGGCCGAAATCAACTACTACGCAGGACACACCAACCGACCCTCCCCCTCCACCTAGCCCCAGGCTTATCACAGTATGCCGGCGGAACACGCATCTGGTTGAAACGCGAAGACCTGAACCACACAGGCAGTCACAATTTCAACAACGCGCTAGGCCAAATCATTCTGGCGCGACGACTCGGCAAAACCTTCATAATCGCCGAAACAGGCGCTGGCCAACACGGCGTCACGACAGCAACTCTATGCGCTCAATTCGGCATGAAATGCACCATCTATATGGGATCCGAGGACTTCGGACGCGAGGATTTGGATGTTATGCACATGCGCATCGTCGGCGCGGTGGTTACTCCCGTTGATTCCGAGTACAGCGGCGGAAAGGGTACTATCCGCGACGCAGTCAATGAGGCCTTCCGTGTCTGGGAGACGGAGCTGCAGACCACGCATTTCGTTATCGGCTCGGCGTTTGGCCCGCATCCGTATCCGACTATCGTGCGCACGTTCCAGACTGTCATTGGCACAGAGACTCGAGCTCAGTTCACCGCGATGAATAATGGTAGACTGCCTGATGCAGTTGTTGCATGTGTTGGTGGTGGGTCGAACGCTGTTGGTCTGTTCTACCCCTTCCTTGATGATTCATCTGTTGCTCTTGTTGGCATTGAGGGGCGTGGTGGATGCATGGCGGGTCCGAGTGATGAGTCCATTGATATCGTGCACGGGTTGCCGACTTATTTGCCTTGTGACGATGATAGGGAGAATGGCAAAACACATTTTGTCTCTGCTGGGCTTGATTACCCTGGTATTGGACCTGAGTTAGCGAGTTGGAAGGAATCTGGTCGGGCTATGATTGGTCCAGCGACTGGGGAGGAGGTCCTGATGGCTTTTTCGTTGCTCAGTCAGCTTGAGGGAATTATACCTGGGCTTGAGAGTTCTTATTCTGTTGCTGGGGCTGTGCGTACTGCCAAGGAGTTAGGGCCCGGGCATAATGTTGTTGTTTGTCTTAGCGGACGGGAAGATGATGTGGAGACTGTGGCGAGTATTGTATCTACTCTCGGGGTTGATGATGCCTAAAGAATTCTTTTGGCTAGGTGGAACAGCATTGTGATTGTGAATTGGAGTCTGAATTGTGAAAACCCTCTGACCTTTTCCTGATTGGGGTTAAATCGGCTGTTGAAAATAGCTATCCTGTCCGATAGAAAATGGAAAACTGTTGAGAACTGTGAGAAAACCAGCCGTTGTAGCAGTGGGTTATGAAGATTTATAAGGGCCAGGGTTCAAACCCGCTTTGTAGGGGGATTTTGATGTTTGGATACCTGAATTTGTAAGTACAAGGCAGGAATATCATTTTCTCCCCAGACTCTGGTCGTAGGAAACGCTATAGGCATGTTTAGCGGGAGAACATAGATACTAATTGGCTAATGGTGGAACTGGTAATGTTAAGGACGTTGGCTTCCACGTTGGCTAGGGACTATGATCCCAAGTTTGGCCATTGAACGTCATGAAACTATGAGATGGAACGGAAAACTGAAAAGTTTCTTACTATATAACACCTGCCAGATATAGTAGCTTAATAAAGATCTTTAACATGAATATACTCGTAATCTTACTATTTACCCTATTTGCCAGGGAACATTTCCCGCTGCATGATATTATATCACCCTGCTTAAGCGGGATGAAGTAAAGTTTAGAAGAAGATGTAAAACAATATTAGGTTCACTCCTTGAAAGCAAAGACGAGTGAGTTGATTGCTCACTCACCGCAAATTCTAGAGATTTTAGGGAATTCTTTGTTCAAAGGACACATAGCTAGGCTGCGAAATGAGCTTGTATACATTTGCTGAGATTGGTCGGAGAGTGTACCGAGGTACTATATAGGCCTATGCGAGCTATATCAGGTATTCAGATGGGAAGAAAAATGGCGAGAAACAGGCGAAATATATTGTAGCCATTCAAGCCTTTTTCAAATCGAATCCGTGTTATAAATATGTTGCTCTACAATTCTCGTATTAACCTGTAATATAATCGTTAGCCCTAAGAATAAGAACATGTGTGACCAAAGACGACTTGGACTTACATGGCGTATTCCCAGATCTGCGACTCTCCGCACACCTAACAAGCTCATGCAAGTTCTCGTTTCCTGTGCTATAACTTTTGAAAAAGAAAAGGGAAAATCAGCATCACTACACACACTACTTACAATAGGCCCGGGGATGAAGCACTTACGCTGGAGCATCCTCTCAACCCCAGCGATACCACCGGCACCAAGACCCCAGAACGCTGGTCGCCCAACACCCACTGCCCTCGCACCTAGGCATAGCGCTTTCACAACATCTGTCCCGCGTCGAATACCCCCATCGACCATAATATCCAGCTTCTCCAGAACATCTGGGCAGTATTTACGGATTTCGAGTAAGGTGTGAATAGCCGGCGGCGCAGTGTCAAGGACACGCCCCCGTGGTTCGACAAGATAATGCCTTTTACGTGAGCATATGTAGCAGCGGCTTCAGCATCCTCGTAGGTCTGAATGCCTTTTATGATAATCGGTAGCGAAGTGTGTTTCGCGAGCCATTGTAGCGTAATCTCCCATTCGGCATCAGAAGCCGGCCCGGAGACCGATGGGATGGCCACTTTAACATCTGTGCCTGGTTGAGATGGCTCTTCTCGTTGAGTTGGAACCTCGGTCTGCGCATCGTCGTATGGTTCGAACCCTCTCGGTCCGAGCTCATGCTTTCCTTGGACGGGCTCGTCGACGGTGAGGACAATGCACTTAATCGCGGACAACTTATTGATCCTCATCAGGACAGCCTCGCTCTCAGTGCGATCCGTCTGGACATAAAGCTGGAACCCAAAGATCTGCTCAGGCGCGGCTCCCGCGACAATCTCCTCGGGAGTCATCGACGCATTATTCGAGATTATATGCATGACACCGAACCCTCCACACGCGGCTGAAATGCCAGCTTCGCCTGTCGGGTGCGCTAATCGGGCCATTGCCATGGGCGATACGAAAATAGGCAGCCCGACTCTCTGGCCGATGATTGTCGTCGACATGTCGCATTCTTTGACGTTGACGAGGACGCGTGGCCGGAGGAGGATTGAGCGGTAGACCTCTCGGTCCAGGCTTTTGGAGATAAGGTCTCCGGCAGCCGCGTAGTTGAAGGACCAAGCTTTTTTGCTTTTTTGTTTTATGGCGAGCGATTCGAACTCGTCGAGGCTTTTGAGTGATTCCATTGCGAGTGCCTCTTCGTTCTGGGACTTGTTGGCCCGGGTAGAGTGTTCATCTGCGTTGGATATTCCGGTCATTGTTAACGATAGTAGTAGTATGGTAATGTCGATCGCTACGCTCGAGAATATAAGGGTGTTCGGTTAATGGGAATAAACGAGGGGGTCGCGTCGGTAGTAGTCGACATACTGTAGTCCGTGGCTTCCCGATTTGGAAACTAGTCCGGTTGTAGATGGTGACCCCAAACCACGCCACGCCGTCACATTGGAAAACTAGGTTTTCGATATATATATTGCTGGATCCGGTAAATTCAAATACAACGTACATATAGAGCCATACATACATGAAGGATATTCACCAACGGAACGAGAAACATTAACAACCCCATAATACAGCTAGTAACTATACAATGTCGGGGAAGTGCAAGAAATCAACCCGGGCTTTCGGGGTTGAGGCTATAGGTATCCGTTTCGAAGACGATGGGTCCGAACGCAGTAACTAAGGTTTAGAAGTATGTACCCCCATACCCCCACGTTATTACACCCCACGCTCTCCACTCGGGTCTGATATTGTGCAATCCAAGTCTTCTGAAGGGCAAGAAGACTTAGGGCCTTTGTAGGTTATCCATGCGTCTGGTCGGCTATTGAGAGAGTTATTATCACCTAAGATCTGTATCATATAACAGAATCTTACTTGCCCATACTAAGCTTCAGAAGATGATAGAGTGCGTTAACGTAGGCTATTATATGTGTAAATGAAGTGAGAGAACGCCGTCACTCGTAGTTGCCTCGCCTCACCCTTCTTCTTCTTCCACCCGCTCTCAGGCCAACACACGCTTTTCTTACATCCACAATTCGAGTTTATATCAGTGTGGTCGCTTGACTTAGGTGATGCTCAACTGGATTCTCACCCCTAGTTGCGCGATGGTCGCATTTCCACCATCTGCTCCTTGCATTCTATCACCCCCTCCCACCCATAAGATAATACGTACGACCATAGGGTGTGGAAAATAGGGCTTCCCGTCCGCTCAGCCGTACTCAAGCCACACGCCGGTGAGTTAGTAGTTGGGTGGGTGACCACCAGCGAATCCTCACTGTTGTATGTTTTTTTGGTTTTTGTTTGTTTTGAGTGAGTAGTCTATTTCCGATAGATAGCCGTGTTAGTGCGCCCCAGATGATGCAATATTTGCATAGGATGCAAGATCTAGAGATTAGGTATCTTTTATATATATAACTTACCTATACTACGGGCGACTATAGGGATCCACCCGCCATCTATAAAAGAACACAGTCCTTCCCTCCCTCGACGACGCACTTTCCCTCTCCCGTGTCTACTCTTGCTTTCGAGCCAGGCTTTATAAAGACCAAACTAACGGGTTGGCGCGGCCGGGTTGACATCGAGGAATCATGCAATGGGATGGTTGACATTATTGAGAAATTAACGCCGGAGAAATCGGCATCCTGTCTGGATTGGACTGGTGAGTCTATTCCCTGGTAGCCTAGTTGTTAGTATTTGCCTACTCAGTTTGTAGTTCCTTTAACGTTGCGAATCTAAAATTCCTTAAGGAATGCATGTGGTTTCGATTGGGAATACTAGCTCGGCCGTGTAACTAACTAACTAACGTATTTCACATGCGATCAAACCAAGCTCACAGCGTCTTCCTCTAGGTCAATTTGGTGTCACCCTGGAAGCTTAGGAGACTTCACTTATTATACACTGGTCAAAAGAGATGTTTGAAGGCCATGGTTTGATGGGAATCTCGACTTGAGATTCACGAAGAGAGGAAGAGGCTAAGAATACAATATTTGGAAGAAGGGGCACTGGCGACCCGACCCAGATCTCATACTGGGCGGCTTTCGGGAGTGCGTGGTTGTTGTTGTTGTTGTATTGATTAACGTCCATGTGGTGACGGGCGTAGCCCGTCCACCGCCTACCTCCCTTAGGGTATCGGGACGTGCTAAGCTATGGTATTATATATATGATTGTGCCTATAGAAAGCAACTCTTTAAAGAAAAAGGGCGCTAAGGCCCTAGTTGGATGCCCGTCCTTCTCCGCCGGCTAAGAAAGATATAGTTAATATTAATGGTAGAGTAGTCCTACCGTAGGTCTTCGGGTAGGTATACCCGGTCTTAGGGCGGTAATACGCCTATATATTATAGGGTAGGAAGCCGAAGTAGCCCTCGATTTACGCCTATATAGGTAAAGGATAAGAGTAGTAAAAGGGAGTAAAGAGGTAAATTAAGATAAAGAAGATAGAAAAAAAGGGTAAGGGGAGGAGAGAGGGAAGAAATATATAGTATAGGCCCGGGGGGGGCCTTATCTTATATAAATAATAGTATAGAAGCTAGTAATATATAGGAGCTTATCGAACTTAGAGGGCCTAAGTTTCTAGAGGTAGGCTACGGCTTCGTCCTAGCCTATTAGAAGGGAAGGAAGCTTATTAAGCTAGGCTTAGAAGTTATATTACGTCCTATAGTAAAGTATAATATACTTAGATATCTTAGCTCTTTTATAAGAGTAGGAGAGCTTAGTATTATTATATTAGAATTTACGATAATACTAGCTAAAGTCCTTATATAAAAAATAAAGAGCGAGCTAGCGATATAAGATAGATTAATAAAGATTAAGTTCTAAAAGATCTTTAATCTTATATACCCCCTACTACTATTAGTATTATATTAATAGCTTTAAAAAAGCCCCTTACTATTAAGTATAGTAGGCCTTATTTTAAAGATCCTAGTATATAGAGCGGATTCTATTAATTATAAAAGAGGCCTAAAGAGCGAGGCCCTATAAGCTATAAAAGATACTTTAATTAGTAAGATAGTTAGCTATATTATTATCTTTAATATCTATATAGCCTAAGAACTATTATATATAGATAGTCCGTTAGGCTATAATATTATAGTAGCGGGTAAAGACTTATTATAAGATAGGAGGGATATTATCCTATAACCTCTAAATTACTAAGATACTATTAATATAAAGCTATATCTCCCTTATAAAAAAGATCTCGGTAGCTCTCTCTAGTTTCTTTAAAGCCCTAACTATTTTAGAATTAAAGATATAAGACTAACGATTTATAGTATTTAAGCTAATAGCGACTATTATCTTATTAAGATAGATAGTAAAACTATAGCTAATATAATAAATATCTTTAAAGTATTATTCCAATCTATTTATAAAAATAATAACTATTATCTTAGGAAGAGATCCTTATTACTTCTTAAAATTAGTAAAGATTATATCTTTATCTAAGAAACCGGTAGGATTAGTATAATAATCTATAGTATAATAAAGACTATAAAGAATTAGGCGAGGGACTCTTAAAAAGAGGTAACCGAAACGCTAAATCTTAGTTTTAAGTATCTAGTCGGTACTAATATCTTAGTCTTATATAATAATCGGCGGATTAATTCTTTAGATAAAGGGATAAGCTTTATTTATTATATTAAGATAGAGGGTAAAATAAAGTTTAGCTTCCTTAAGAGCGGCTATGTAAAGGATAAAGGTCCTTTCAAAGGTAAAACAGGAACTTGGGCGACATATATATTCATAGAAGTTTCTGACACGTATGTGAATCGTGCGGGGTTCGTCACCTGATCGGTGCCGAGCCTTGGCACGCACATTTCCTTTTAATCTTGGGTCCCCCTGGGACCCCTGAATTCTAGCAAGAATTAGTCTTGGTATATATAGCCTAATATACCTTTGTTCCTCCTCCTAAGCTAACGTATCTTACCCGGTTAATAGGCCTTATACCTAAAATAGTATATTCTTATAATTCTAATTCTTCTTCTTTAACTACCTAAGATATAATAGCTCCCCTAACTACCCGTAGTAGCTCGCGTAATAATACCGAGGCGCTAGAGTATCCTATCTAAACCGGTAGCGAATCGGGAATATTTCTACCTACGAAAGAATAGGAGGAAATACTAACCTAGGACCTACCTAAAAAAACTACTAAAATAGCGGCGGAAAGCTCTTATATCGCCGACGAAACCCTTCGAAGTCTAGAAGAAAAGATTATAGAATATAAAACTAGAGTAGTATTATAAGAACGTATTCTCGCGGCCTAAAAAGTAGTCGTAGAAAATAAAGAGAAACTTTAGGATTTCGGTTAAATAATAAGAAGGTCTTAAAACTACTATAATTTATCCGCGGAAAGCGAACCTTTCTAAAAAGGAGAGATTAAAAGAGATATTAGCCGATTTAAACTAGATTTCGGTATAAAATAAAAAGAGGACTAGCTAAATAACCTTAAAGCGCTTTTTAAAAAGACTCTAAAAAAATATATCTTAAGAACCTAAAAAATCCTCGCTACTATAAATTACCTATATACCTTCTATAAAGAAAAATAGACGTCTTATAAATAGAAATATTTTAAAAAGATATCGGATTAAGATATATTTAAAGAATAGATAAAGATACTTCTAAGGAACTCCTATAATATTATTACTAATATCCTCGTCTAGTTCTAAAAGGTTATAATAAAATCTTATTAGGACCCTTATAATTTTAAAAACTATTTTAAATTACTAGAGAATTACCTCCTAAACTAGAATAAGAAATAAAGGGCCTAGACCTTATTTATAAAACTATAGAAACCTCTCCGAGATATTATAATTACTACTAATAATAGTATTTTACTTATAAACTAGGACGAAATATTAAAGCTAGTATCTACGCTTTACTATATCTATTTTATATACTAGAGACTAAGGAAGGACTCTTTAAACTATTATTATTAGGATAAGAAAAGATAGGGAAACTATACTAATTCGATATTAAATTACTCTTATATCGAAATCTTAACCCCCTAGGGTAGAGGATAACCTTAAAATAAAAAGTAATCTAGAGATTTTAGAATCTAAGGCTAGGGCTAGGGATATAGATTAAATAATCGAGATAATTTATAAAGCTCTATAAATAATATATAGCCTAAAAAAGAAAATAGTACTAAAAAGATACTAGAAAGCGCCTATTTTATTTATAAAGATAAAAACTACTAGGCTTAGGATTACCCCTAAAAAGCCTTAGTTTAATCTATTATCTAAGTATTAAAAACTTAGGATTCTAAATA